TTTTAGGTATAAAATACAGTTACATTCATCATTGGGATCTGACAGGTTCCATTTCTGAGTTCCTGTTCTGCTATCTTCACTGTGTGTGGTGGTGTTTCAGGGTGGTGACAGTATTACCCAAGGATACACAAGGAATCTGAATAGCTGTTCCATTTTGTAAGTATATGTTTAATCATTAAAACTCAAAAAAAAAAAAAGAGAAAGAGAGTTCAGGTCACTTCCGGTCAGCTAGTCCCAAAGAAGGATTAAGTGACATTCTAAAGATGTAGTATCTATAAGAAATAGCCCACCCACCCCACCCTGTGTTCACTGCTGCAAGGAAGCAGAGCTGCCTTATTGGTACCCTGGTCCATGTTCTTTTTATCAATCTAAGAGACAGCCTTTGACATATTAAATCACAAAAAAGACTGTTCCACCCTGGGTAGTGAGCTGGTCTTGCAAATTGAAGAAAACGTTTTTGTGTTCAAATTACAGTATTTTTATATTTAAGAGATGACTATTTAAAAAATCACCTTTAAACAAAAGGCCAGTAAATGTTGTCGGTGTTCTCTTTTTAACATAAACCACTAAATTACTAAAAAGTAGAGATGAGGTGTACAAGTCACCACGTCCAGTTGCACCGATGTTTCCAGAGGAGGTATACCACAGAACCAGCACCCTGAATACCTCTGATAGCCCTCTAATCAACACACATCCTCCCAAAAAACCCAGTTGTCTAATTTCTCTCACTAGGCTTCAGTTTTTCCATGTTTTAAAATGTAATCATAAAGTGTATATTCTGTTGGCTTTCTTCCCCTCCCCTCTCCTTTCTGAATGTAAGTTGAACCCAGGACCTTATACATGCTAGGTGAGCACTCTACCACTGAGTCACACTCCGGCACTATCTGGTTTCTTTTATTCTTTTATGAGGTGTGATCGAAAAATACAGTGAATGTTTAAATTAAAAATAAAACTATGGGCCGGGTATTTAGCTCAGTGGTTCCGGCACCTGCCTCGCAAGCGCAAGGTCCCGAGTTGGATCCCCGATACCAAAAATAAAATAAATAAATAAAATAAATAAAACTATGACAGTAAAACACACATTGCCATCAATCCTCTTCAAAATAGCCCCCACTCAAGCTTGGAATATACTTATCCCACTGTTCTTGCCACTTTCTGAAGCAGTTCAGAAAGTCCACTTAGTGAAATGTCTTTAGTTGTGCTATTGTGGCTGCCTCAATGTCCTGAATTGATTCAAAATGTTCATACAGTATTTCATTTGACTTTGGGGAAGAGCCAAAGGTCACATGGCTCCAGATCCAGTGAGTCAGGTAGGTGAGGACGCACTGTAATATTTTCACCAGCTTGCCTTTCTGTTGGATGGGCATTTGGCGGCAGCATTCACCATATTTTTGATCACATCCTGTAAGGGCATTTATGAAAGAGAACTTCAGAACTACTTCAGAAAATGGCAAGGATGATGAGATATGTTTGAAGTCAGGGGTAGTATTTTGAAGGGAATTACTGGCAGTGAACATTCACAGGATATTTCAGTCATACCTGGTATATATAAGATTCATGTCTGTTGTGTGTAGTTGGAGTTAGTTTATTCTCATTGGTATTTTTGCTTCATATGTGACTATGTGGCAATCCAATTATATATCCTGCTACTGCTTAACATTTGACTTATTTTTAGTATTATTGCTATTACAAATACTGTTGCAGTAGACACTTTACCATATTTTTGGTGTTATAGACACACAAATTTCTGTTGGAGATTTACTTACAATTGAACTTGCCAAGTCTGTGGTTATGCATATTCTCTTCAGTTATAGTAGATACTGTGGCTATTTTCCAAAATGGTTTAGCAGCTTATTCTTATAACACCAATGCTTGAGAGTATTTGCTCTGCATTTTGCCAACATTTGTTATTCTTCATTCTTTCATGGATGAGTAGTGATATTTTGTTGTAATTTTATTCATTTTCAGTGAAGTTTTCTTATAGAGGTCAACAACTTGACAATGATTCTAAAGGTCATTTGGGGGTAATCAGAGTGACCAACAGGCATAGAAAACTTACAAGAATATATTACTATAGCATTTTTTAACCTTTTCACTCATTTGAAAAATACTTATTGAACATATTTCACTATTTGTCATACACTAGCCTGGGAATTTGAGGACAGAGCAGTGAAAGAGACAGGAAAAAGTCCTGTCCTGACTGAGCTGTTTCTCTAGTTGTAGCAAGTTAGACACGTGTCATCTTGCAGACATAGACAGGTCAATTGAAAGGGTAATCTTGCAGCATTTCCCAGTGACCAGAACTATCAGTCCATCCTGGTGTTCTCCCATGGAGTTGAAACAACTAAAGAATTCATGTTGGCTGTAGAAAACTATGGCTGGCTCATTAGCGCTGATCCTGGGATGGAGCCTTATTGAAAAGGCTTTCCCTGGTGCACATGCGATAATTTAGTATGTGTAAAACATACATCCTAAAGTGTAGGGAAGGAAAAATGATTTGGTTTGTGGTCCTCAAACAACCAGTGGATTAAGTGGGAAAAACTCAAGTTGGAGAATCCTTACCTCAGGCCACACACAAAAATCAAGAACTGATGTATTAAATAAAACTTAACAGTAAAGGATAAACTGCTTTAAACAGTTAAGAGAAACTGTGTATCATTTTTTGTAGTATTGGGATAGGGGAAGACTAGTTTTTAAGCTAAGAAAAGTAATGGAAGAAAGTGCAAGGGTAAAACATCTACAGGTTTAATTATATAAAAATATCAAACTGGAAAAATATTTGCAACAAATATGATAGACAAAAGGGGGAAAGGACATGTTCACACACTGTTGGTAGGAGTGTAAATTGACACAGTCTTTCTGTAGAATAGTGTGATGATAAGTACCAGAAGCCTTAAAGTTCTCTCCTTTGACCCAACAATTTCTTTTCTAGGAATCTAGCCTTCAGAAATTGCGATTGGACAGGTGTTATACACAAAGATGGCTATCTTTGGTTCACTTAAAAATATAAAAAAACTGGAAGTAATCTAAATGTCTACTGCTAGGAAGAAAGTTAAATTGTGTTTTAAAATAAATTAATCACTATTATAAGGAAACATAAGTAAAACTCTTAAATCATAGGCTTGTTGTAATTAGCATTGACATATCCTTTATATTTCAAGCTTGTTTTGCCTCAGGAGACTCAAAATATATTCTTCTTTTACATGTCTCAAAAGCTGAATTAAATGCTAACTGACAAATGATAGGTTTACTGGGCTTTTTGTGCACTATGCTAAAAAAATGTTAATTAAAAACAATAAAATACTAGCACTTTCACAGGTCCCTCCCTAGGCAGTGGGGCCAGGATTTGGTAGCTGGTGCTGAAAGAAAACCCTTGATTGCATCCTTGCCCTGGTGCTATACCAGTGGTAGCGGTCATTCAGTGGGACACAGGAATAGAAACAAACAACACTACTAATACACCACATTTACGGAGTGCTTATTATATGTAGTGTATTGTGGTTAGTGTATTAAATGATGATGTCATTTATTTCAGTGACACCTAATGAAGCCAGTAATATATCATTGTGCCCATTTTGCAGATGAAGAATCTGAGCCCCAGAAAGCTTTAGTTACTTACACAAGGCCATTCCAGTGGTAAGAGGCACAGCCTGGGCCCAAGACACTCCAAACCTGGTTACTTAGTCTGCATTGGAATTGAAATGTAGAAATGACAAGTAGCTTTTCAAACAATTGTGATCAGACTTGACTCGGGTTACAGAGGAAGGGGAGTTGCTTGCCGTTGTTCTTGCACCTCACTTCCCTGCACATCCCCCGACTCTGACCCTGCCAGCCCTGTTCCCCTCACTGTTTTACCCTGAGAATGTGGAGATCTTGTCCTGTGCAGGATGCCATGTGATCCTATGCTGTTTCCCAGCATTTCCCGCAGTCCTTGGGGCCTCATAGGAGAGGAGTCGGTGTGCTCCCAACTCCTGAAGGCAAGGCTGTGAGAACACCAAAGAAGTGTCCCATCCCACGCCTCATTTTCTGTGTGACTCTAGAGTGGAGAGAATATAAACTTGGGCAGCAGTTATACCTGCTTCCAGAAAATCCCACAAGATGCCATGTGGCTCACTCAGTTTTCTTTCCAGTTTAGTTTGCTGTCCTTTTTGGAGCTTGTATACCTCTGTGGCTTCCATTGAAAGATAAAACCTAGGCAAGTTAAAATTTTAGTGAGTTATTTGAGCATTCAGTGGTTCATGAACTGAGCTCACAGCAACAGACTACAAGTGGTTCAGGCCCCCATGAAGGGGACAGGAGGGAGGACGTTTATAGTGTGTTCAGGGAACCAAGACAAAGAAAATATATTTGATTGATTAAAGTGGAAAGTCCCTAGTTGGAGGTCAATTTGGTGGTTTCAGTTTGGTTAAGCTTAAGGTTTGTTTCACTGTTGACATTGAGTCAGGCTTAAGTTTGCCTACATAGTTACAGAGGAACCCAAGGTGCTGAGATCACCTCATCCTAGTGCTTCCCAACTAGTTGTTTTAATACTTCATGTCTTACCATCCCCCCCAAGAAAAGACATAATTTGTCTTTCTAAATTTCTGGAAACCAGAGTTTGTCAACTGCATAACTGTTGTGGAGGATCATCCATGCAGCATGATAGGATGTTTAGCAGGATCCCTGCTTCTACCCATGGTCGGTCGGTACCAGTAGCCTCCCTTGTCCCCAAGTTAGAACAGTCAAAATTGTCATCAGACATTTCCAAGTATGCCATATGGGGGAATAGTGCTCACAGTGGAGAACCACTGGTATAAGCATAAAGTTTGACAAAATTAATAAGTTTTTCTTTTTTCTTTGAAGTGATGGGAGATAGCTGCTATTGTGAAGAGTGCATTAAAATATTTACTATTTTATCCTTTGAATATTTTTAACCTTTTCACCTATTGATTCTATGATTATATACTTTATAGAATCAAATATATAAAGTAACATTTCTCTTATTTTCCTTTTTTAAACAGTATGCAAGCATTGAACAAAATGGTGAATTTTTTATGTCTCCCACTGACTTTGTCACTCGGTATTTGAATATTTTTGGAGAAAGCCAGCCTAATCCGAAGACTGTGGAGCTGTTGAGTGGTGTGGTGGATCAGACCAAAGATGGGTATGTTTAATTCAATTTTATGTTTTTTATTCAAAGCAGCTTTCTTTTGCTTTAATGCTCAGGAAGTCACTGAATATTTAATTTCCGTATCTTAGGAGCATTTTCTCTACCTATTAATATTAACACATTAGTTTAGAAATATTACTCCAACATTTCCTTCAGTGATCTTTGAAAAGTTGATTTTTTAAACTAGTTTAAAGGTCTCTGAAGTTTCAGAAAGCTATTATAACTGATGAAGTGGTGTGAAGATATAAAAGAATTTTTAAGTATGCTGATTTTTTCAAGGCAGGTGTAAAATTGGAGTAAATTTACACATAGTTCTGTGAATGAAACTTTTCTATAATCTTTCCCTTTGCTTCAACCACCATTAAAATATCACACATGATTAAATGGTATGGATCTACAAGACAGAGTAATATGATTCCAAATCACCAAGAAAGGCATTTTTTGCAGTAGCTACAGCAGAGAGATTATGCATACAATAAAATAGGACACTTTGCAAAATGCCTTTGGATTTTTTTTTCCTACCAGTTTTCTCTGCCTACTCCCTGGGATTTGTAAATGTTACTTTATTTGGAAGAAGGGTCTTTGCAAATATGATTAAGAATTTTGAAGTGAAGAGATTACCCTTTATTATCTGAGTGGGCCTTAGATTCCACCACAAGTTTCTTCATGATAAAGGCAGAGGGAAATTTGACACAGACTGAGGGAAGAGGAGGCGGTGTAACCACCGAAGCAGAGAATGGAGTGATGAGACCACAAGCCAAGGGATGCCTGGAACCACTATAAGTTAGAAAGCACAAAGAAGAATTTCCTCTAGACCCTTTAGAAAGAGTTTCTGACCTTGCTGACACCTTGATTTTGGATTTCAATTTCCCCAAACTGTGTTAAGGTAAATTCCTGCTATGTTAAAACATCCAGTTTATGGTACTTTGCTCTGTTTTTAATTGACAAAAATTATATGTATGTATGATGTAAATACATTTTGAAATATGTATGCATTGTAGAATAGATAAATCAAGCTAATATATCCATTATTTCACATACTTATTTTTTTGTGTTGAAAACATATAAAGTCTTGCTAAGCAATTTTCAAGTATAAAATGCAGTGCTATGGTCTAGGTGTTGCCCACCCCCCCAATTTCTTAAACTTATACTTCCTGTCTGAAATTTTGTGTCCTTTGCCCTCAGTTTCTTCACAGTCCCTTCTTGCCTGTGCAAGTCCCTGATAATCACAATTCTACTCTCTGCTTCTATGAGTTTTACTCTTAGACTCTACATGGAACTGAGAGCATGTGGTATTTGACTTTCCATGCCTCGTTTATTTCACTGAACTCTGGGTTCTATCCATGTCACAAGTAATAGAATTTCCTTCTTTTTTTAAGGCTGAATAGTATTTCTTTGTATATATGCACCACATTTTTTTATCCATTCATTTGTTGGTGGACACTGGGTTGATTCCATATTTTGACTACTGTGCGTAATGTAGCAGTGCACATGCAATGCAGATATCTTTTTGATAAACTGATTTTATTTTCTTGTTATAATTTATTATAGCAGTTTTAGGAAACTAGTGTATTCCTGTAGCTGTTTTCTCTGGGGAACTAGAAAGCCTATAGTTTTCAAGAATTTTCTTTAGTCAAAGACCAGTTTGATTCAGAAAAAAACTCACTACTCCTACCTTTTGGCTGATCCATACATTTCTGGTACAGTGCCCCCTGCTCTAAGTTACCTCTGTGGGAATGCAGCCTCTTCCTGAAAACTTCACCTGTGTGTTGATTTGGGGTGAACTTTGAGCAAGAAAGTGAAATGTTTGTGTACTGCATGAATTTAAGGTCTCAGCCTTTCATTTAAAATGGGAATGAATCTTTGTGTATTATCTAAGTGTATTTTTTTATACATTGTTCACATAATTTATCTATTAAGAGTAAGGTGACAGTTTTTTTGTTTGGGGCCCTTTGAGTTTGGCAAACATGTTTCTATTTGTTTTTCTTACTGTTGTCTCATCAGAGGGAGCTGAGGCCAAAAAATTTTTACTGGTACCGGACCTTTTCACTTGGCAAGACTAAGTGGGGTATAGCATGAGCTGGAGGCATTGAGTGCCTGACTAGATGGCTGCCTGTTACAGGTGCTGACCCCTGTTTGTGTCAGGGGGGCACTGGGTGACTGAAATATCTAATTGGCTTGCTAGATTCACGTATAAATTTACCACACAGATTTTGCTTCAGTATCCATGGGACAGTGGTTCTAGAACTCCCCACAGGATGCTGCTGATACCAAAATCTGCTCATACTTGAGTCCTCCCTAGGAAATACTGTAGTATTTGCATATAACCTTCATACATTTTCCACTGTATTTTAAATCACCTCTAGATTACTTACCGAGACTTCATGCAGTATAAATGCTATGTGTAAATAGTTGTTATATTACAGTGATGGTGAACCTTTTAGAGACCAAGTGCCCAAACTGCCACCCCAATCCTCTGCTTATTTATCACAAAGTGTCAGCACTTCATTTAAGACCTGAATACTTAGATTTTAGTGTAGAAAAAGCAACTCATACATTTAACATCTTTTGTCTTAAAAGAAAAACACAATAACAGAGCTTTCAATGATACAAACAGCTTCTTATTAAAAGCTAAATGTTTGCATTTGGTGTGCTTTTGCACAATTAATGTGATCTTTGCTGTTGTATGCATGCTGGTAATCTGTCAAACCTTGGCTGAGGTGACTTGGCTCATGCACCAACAGAGAGGGTGCTATGTGCCCGCTGTGGCACATGTGCCATAGTTTCACCACCACTGTATATTCTATTTTGGGATTACGGCAAGAAAAAGTCTGCATATTCCGTACAGATGCAGCTTTTTTTTTTCCTGAATAATTTTCATTAGTGGCTGGTTGAATCTGTAGATTAGGGACCCATGTATATGGTGAACCATCCATGTATGTTTTCCATCTCAGGTATGGAAAGCCTTCACAGTCTATGCAAACATGTACTCATGAGATCAGAAGTTGGCTTTTTTTTGTAAAAGGGAATGTCAGATGTTCTGATCCATTAGAAATGGGCTGACAGGCCCAACTTACTGCCTTGTCAGCCCTTGATTTTGTTGAATCAAAATGATAGCAGTATAATCTGTATCCACAAATAATTCATTTCTGCTCAGAGTCAGTCCTGGGACAGTTCCCATTTTGATGCCTGAGAAATAGGTATCAAAAGCAAAGGTGAAAAAGAAACCTAGGGTTTTAAAATGTGTGGCCTGTATAAATAAATTGTGTTCTCTGCTTTTCCTATGTTTGCTGTGTATCCTTCTGGAAAAAAAAATACAACCTTTTAAATACTTCATAAGGTGAAGGAGGATATAATAATGTTGATGATAAAATCATTTTTATGTACCTGTTTTCACTTTGTGGGGCTGTACTGAAGAAATCCAGGCCTTGGCCACATGCTGGGAGTTAATGAGGTTTACAATTGGCAACGCTTAAAGAGTATTAGGGTAATGTATTTAAACATCAGCAGTTCACAGCCTGAAATGCTCATCATCTGTCAAGTACAATTCAGAATCAATAAGAGGAGGTCTTTCAATTTGCTCATGAAGAAAGTTTTGTACAGTTAAGGTGGACACAGGTTACAGGTAAACACCTGAAATTCCTAAACTATAGAATTAAAGACATCTCTTTAATTTAAAAAAAAACTAGATAATAATCAACAGCAGTCACCTGAGAAGCTTAAATGTTCTTCATAGTCATCAGACTTCCAAATTAATCTACCAAAACAAAAAGCCTCATTAACAGCTCTCATTGAATCAATGTTATTTTCTTTTTCTTTCTCTCAAGATGTCTGATTAACCCCCTTTCTTTTTGCATTACTCACTTTGTGTTAATATTTGATGGCTGAAATCATAGGGGGGTGCGTGCAATGTGGTGGCTAGACACTGTCTATGAGGAGTAAATTAAAAAGAATTTTTAAAAAGGTTGGTATTATGTTGCTGATGTATTAGAAAATCTTTAGGAATGTCAGGTGCCGGGTTTTATTTTTCTTTTTAATTCCAGGAAGGGTTGATTAATGACTAGGTACTGATTTCACATCTCATTCATATGTACCGGTAGCACTCCTCCTGTTCCCTCCCCCTCTCCTTACCAATCCAAGCCCCCTTTTTTGGCGGGTTTCACTGAAAAGGGAAGGTGAGACATGGTGCCGCAACCAGAGGCAAAAGAGAGGTCACTAAGAGAGGTCCACTACGTGGGAAGTGTACATAAGAACTTCTGTGTACTGTAGTGTAGTAGTTGTCTAAGGAAAAATACTTCCATGGTTTTGAGATACTGGCTAAGCTAGTCTTTACTTTTTAATATTCTTTTAATTTAACTTTTGTAGGTGGTTAGAGAACGTAATGTGTATTGGTGGGCAAAAGAAAGTACAGGAAGCTGACACTGTAGGAAGGAAGGGAAGGCACTGTGGTGTAACCTCTTGTCTAGGAGGAACGTGGAACTGCTGTGTCCATAGTATGGCAACCTTTCCAGGAGTCCAGCAAGTCAGAACTATTTACATAATAATGCTAAAGGATAATCTGCCATTCTCATTTCCCTGATACTTGAACTGATGTTTCCAGAAGGAACACCAAAACCCTTAACACCAGATGTTGATGTTCTCTGAGGTTCCTGTTGAAACCCAGCTCCCACAGGGATGATATGGAGGTGGGGCTTTGGGAGGTGATTAGATCATGAGAGTTCTGCCTTTCTGGATGGGATTAGTGCTCTTAGAAAAAGGCTTGAGAGAGCCTGTTCATCCTTTCCATCATGTGAGGACACACAGAATGCACCATCATAGGAGGAACAGGAACAGCCAGGTACTAAATATGCTAACTTGATCTTGGATTTCCCAGCTTCCAAAACTATGAGCAAGAACTTCCTGTTGTTTATAAATCATCCAGATGAAAGTATTTTATGATAGCAGCATGAATGGAATAAAACAGATACCAGGCCAAGCAGTATGAGTAGCCGTCC